TCAAGCCGATATTGTGCGTGTAATCTTTATATTATTTTTTATGTAACGGAATAAAAAATTGGATTGTCCCAAATTCTAAATATGAAGATGTCATTAAATGGGGAAACTACTTAATTTTACATAACAGTCGTATTTTTTTTTTATTTGTTTTTAATATCGTGCCAATGGACTGTGTAGTTTTGTCATTTAAAAAACGCAGTAAACCTATAAGGAAGTATATTTTTTTTTCGTAGTGTGGTTTTCTTCATAGAAGCGGATAAGTTTTCAATTTATTGGTTAGAAACTATGTAAATTGTCGTGACGGTTATATAACAAAAACCAATCTTTGTTGATAAAAATATTGTTATTATAAAAGTAGTGCCTTACATAAATATTAATACTTTTCCATAGATTTTAAATTAACAATTTTTTTTTCAACGAAGTTGTTATTCAACGCGTTTGTTGTTAGTTTTTGTTTCTTGTTTTAATTATTATCCGAGATATTTTTTAACGTTACATAAAAATATTAATGATTTAATTCTAAAAAGGAAGAAATCGACGGTTTGCTGTTTCTGTATAAACGCAATTTCTATAAACATAAAACGTCTTTGTTTACGATAAAGAAAGGTTACATGTTTTTATTTTTTGAAATACGTTAACGTCGTGGAATGTGGTTTCGTCCGAATAACCAAGACAATATTTATTATATTTTCTAAAAATTGTATGCAGTTGCTGGATAAAAAAGAGAAAATAGTGTGTTTTCACAACAATGTCAGTTTTTTTATTCGCCTTGATTTATTTGTATGTTTTATTACACGGGTTGTTCCAAAATTAGCATGCAATATGTCATCAGTGCATTCTACGACTAAATTTAAGAGAAAAGGTACATTTAACCATTGGCGGAGGAATGCCCCCTAATAGGGCTACCGCCCCCCTGAAAGTTGTTATTTTTTTCTTTTATATATCATTTTGATGGACGCTGTTTTCAAGTAAAATTAGATTAAGAATGACCTTTCCTTAATTTTTGTTTTATAGGTCGCTATATTCGTAGGTTTTTAAAATATCGTCGTTTTTCTATGATTTCGTAACGCTGTAACGGCAGTAATACTGTAACTGATTTTATTTTCCCACGAAATTTCTAAATAACCGAAACTTCTGTTTTTCATGACTTTTATTAGTTCATCACATTTTTGTATAATTTCCACTCCCAAACCGTAGTCTATCGAAATGATTCAAAAGCACATTTTTGCTGTAAAATTGCGGATTACTGCTAATTTTTTTATTGAGCAGTGGAAAAATTCATGTACATAAAAGCTAGAACGAACTGTAAACCACTGTAAACCGCAATCTACCAGTTTTGGACACCCTTGATTAAAATGTAGAAATTGTTTTTGGTTAGATTCGAAAACCATATCTAGTTTGAAATTTCATTGTCTCATCCTCACAGATATCAAAGGAAAAACTATTTCCAGTGACTTATTTGCGGACAGCCTAAATTTCAAAAGTAATTGTTTAATTTTTTTTTTAAATATTAAGTAACAAATGCAGAATAAAATATTTGAGAAAATAGTAGTTACTATTGTTTTTCTTTTAGTTAGATTTTAAATAAGAAAAGTATTTCTTAAATATTAAACGTAAAATTCGATTTTTTTAAACACAAAAGAAGGCGACATTGATTTGGATGGGTACGGTCGAAAAAAGTCCATGACATTTAGAACCCGCATTGACGCCCTCTGAAGATATGTACGTGTTCGAAGGAGATCTTTCTTCGCCTAATTCACGACCTGCGGATACGGTAGCATATCGTTAAACAACTTCAGTGTGCCACACCCTCGTTCGACATCCTGTTCCACACTATTTTTTTCACCTAAATAACGATTCCAATGATGGAGGATTAGCAAAAAAAATCGCGAGGGCGCAGCCTTCAATAAAAGACGTTCCTGAGCAGGTTAAATGCCATTGGCGGCCCCATCCTCATTATTGTCGTTCTATTGTTCTGGTGATGAAGAGGAACGAAATCTGAAAAATTTTAATCTAATTTCAGCTGAGCAGATATAAAATCCTTGACATATAACAAAAAGAATTCTTCGCAAGTTTCTAGAATTGGCCTTGCTTTCTAGTGCATAGATTAAGCTGGACGAGGGTATCATTTCTCTTGCAGCGATTTTCTGTTTGCGCGCCTAACTAATAGCTATAACTAGGAGACTTTTTAGCGTTAATAAATTATAGTTTCACTGAATACTAATTATCACAGCGTCGGCCGATTTCGCTGTTGGTTTCATCGCGTATTGTCCGATCGGGTCGGCTGGCAGTGTCGCTTCCCTAGAAACCTCGTTTTGAACTTCTGTCTCGTATCAATTTTTAACCATATGTCGTGGGAAACCACGAAACTTCTTCTTCTATGCGTTTACGCAGACATACCTTGACATGTTGCGACAAAACAATTTCTTTGAAAGAAATGAAATGAATGTTTGTGCGTCTTATTTGTAACGTATGGATTTTTAATTTTCAAATTAATTTGTAGAAAAAGAGAAACAACAATTAAATATCACACACAAGGGTGTCGCCAGCCAATGGGCCAAGGGTGGGGGGGCAACAAAATGAAAGAGAGGATGAAAGAAATATAAATTCTTAGAAATAGGTACAATGATTTAAGTTCTTGTAGAAATACTCTTAACAAAACCTTTTTAATACAAATTATAAATAACTAAGAAATACATAAATTTCTTAAATCTACAAAATATATAGGTCTGCAAAATTGGTGCGTTAAAGATACAGGATGTTTCTTAAGTAGAGGTCAAAAACCAGTGGCGTATTGTGTGACCAAAAATAAGGGTTTTATGTTACGTAAATGTGGGGTCTTACGACAGCCTTTGTCTGGCTACAGCGTTTCAAAAATTAAAAAAAAATCAGTTTTTAATTTTTAATTTCTAAACTGCTTGAGATAATTTAACCAAATTCGGTGTGCATATTCAGTATGACAGTAGGTACGAAACAAAAAATTACCAGTTTTGCCAGTGCTGGAGGTGTGGGTATCATCGATCATTATTTTCACCAAAAAATATCACCCTGTATAATATTACAAATAAAATAGGTAATCATTGTATTATCTTCACTTTTTGTTTCTTTACATTTTTTTTGTACTCCAAACCGATTAACAACAAAATTGATTTTTATTTGATCGAGTGCATTTTTACGATATTCATTATATTACTTAAAATAATAACAAAATAATTAATTTTGATCTCTACTTAAGAAACAGCTTTTATAATAATTAAACTTCTATTCCGATAGATTTTTTTTATTATTTAAAATTCAAGAGCAAAATTTTTAAAATATAGAAGCATACTAGGTATTTCTTAACATAAAATTTAATATTAAAATTTTTTTTTTCTGAAACAAATAACTATTTATACTAATTTACTACCTTTGTTTTTTTTAATATGGTGTTTTAATTTTCAAAATTATAGTTTAACTTAATAAAATACTAATAAATAACGTAATGCCTCTCTTTTTTTAGCTTGTATTCTCTAATTTTTAAACATGTAATTATTTAGGTTCCACTTATCAGGAGAGACTTATGAAAGTGTTACAGTATTAAATGAAGCATCCTGATACAGGTAGGACTTTTTTTAATATTTGAATTTAACAGTTATCAGTTCTTTTATACTGTAATTTAAATTTAATAATACTGACATGACAAGGGTGAGTAAAAAGAAGAGTTATAATTATAATAAAATACTTTATTAGTTAATAAAAGTATATATTTTATAATTATATCAATAAAAACAGAAATAAAATCACACAAACATATATTTTTAAATATATTACCAATGTTTATTGTTGTGTGTTGTACTTTATTATGATTTTTAGCACAATGATAAAAAGATGTTGTTTCAAACAAGTTGGTGAACTTCATTGTATTTAAGTACTATTCTATAAATATATTTTTTTAAATACTATTTTTGTTGGCATACGAAAAATGTATTCTCTATTTTTGTTCAAATCGTCATTTTAACTTATAGGATATTTTAAAATTATTTTAATCTATCGTTATTATAAAAAATCTTCAAAATAATTCTAAAATCTCTTACGACAGTTTGAAAAGAGAAATGGAGACAGAACAAATCTATAATCAGTCAACGACGGTAATAAAATATTATGTCGGTGTCATCAGATAAAATTATAATTATATATTTTGGAAACGGGAATATAAATATTAATAAAAAATATAGAATATTTTGCAACTTAATTTTACTTAATCATCAAGTTATTGTGTAATACGAGACATAATTTTTACGAATAATTTCCAAATTTTTTATAATAATATGCAGAAGCATAAAATTTGAAATGTTTAACTGAGAATATTGGTTTTGTGTGGACACCACATTAACCAGATTTAAATTATATTAAATTTAAATTACTTTTTAGGAAATTCCAGGATATTTTATTCGTTTCAAATTGAATACTATTGAATTGTGAAAGTGACTTGCATTAAATATATTTCCAAATCAGAAACGTAAATATAATGTTCATAATAAATAATACAACATATAAATTATCTGAAATAATTATCTAAAATTGCTAGTAAGTCACGATGTAATTTTTAAAATCAATTTTGTACCTGTACGTAGGAATTATATAATGATTTAAGTTGTAAAATGCCTCTTGTTTATTAAAAAAAATGACGATAATAATAACGCTAATCATGTGTCCAGTTTACGTTATTAGCACAATTTCGCCAATAAATTTCTTCTGTCAAAGTGAATTTAAGAAAAAGCCACCAACTTTGTGAAATTTCGATTGTCATAAAAATGCATCGACTGAACAGATGACTGATTTCAATTTAAACGAGACGCAAAAAGTAATTAATTTTTTACGGTGATCCTCGTTTATTAACAAGCTATTTAGGTTGTATGCATCACGCATGCCATAATGTATGCGTGCACAACGAACCACAATATACACATACATCGCGGCAAGGGCGTCGCGACACCGCGTCACAATATTCAAGAACTTACCGATGCAAAACAGAACCAACACCCCGACGCTGCTCAGCGACACCATCTTTCACAATTTAAAAAAAAATGCACTATAAATAATCCAGGCACTAACGTCACACGCAGGAGCTAAAAACACTTCCCCATGTATATTTCGGAAAACGAGAATTCTCCCCAATGTGACAGCAAGAACTCGCGACCGATTTTGTCGCCACACGTGCTTTAACTGACTGGGTCGTTGTAGGTATAAAAGTTCCTCTTAAGTGAAATGTACCAGTGGGGGCTACAAGAGAAAACTTACCTCCCCACCTTGGAAGTGCGGTTTTGTTTTCCCTTCGCCGCAGAGCATTCACTTCGCGAAATGCTGGAGACCTTGCTCTCCGCCCTCGACTAGGCTAGACAACGAAATCCGTGAGCACCGAGAGGGAGAGCCTTGCCGCTGCTTGCCGTCCGGACTAATCCGGGTTTCCGTGCTGCACATACCATAAACCGCATTTACCAACCGTTTACGAAACTGGAGCTGTTTTATTCAAAACTTGTGTATGATAGGCTCACATAACGTTCCAAAATTAGGAGAAAGTTTGACCAGTCCCTCGCAGTCGAAACACGCAGTGTCAAAACAGTAGCAATTTTTACTCATGTTTCGATTCCTTGATAGCCTACGAAGTAAAATTGTCACAATAAAACTGTAAACTACAGGAAATTCCTCAAAAACCGTAGCTAAATAGCAATTTTTACCCATGTTTCCATTTTTTGGCAATCCGAAACTACAGTAAAATAGAAGATGTTAACAGATGAGCGACAAATCAGACTGGCTAGTCTGTTCATTCCGATGCCATATTACATAAAAAAACTTAGAGCGTTGATGGTGGTTATCGAAAGTAAGAAAAAGGTACTTACGAAAATAGTCTTCAAAATGCATTGTAAGACAGGTGGAGACTTTAAAGGATGAAAAATAATTGTTTTGCGACCATACCACGTCAAATTTTACCTAGAATTAAATGAAGGAATTAAGTTCAACTACGACTCTAACCAGGTACGATTTTGATGGTAACTTTTTAATTCGTGGCATTTTTATGCTAACTTTCTAAAAATTCTACGTTCAATATTTTTAATCACTTCTTTAATTTGCCTTTTATATCGTCTCTCTTAAAATGTATTTTCTTATTTGGACTAGTTCTAATCCCTGCAACTGTAGCTAAATCATTTTTACTCATGTTTCAATTTCTTGATAATTAACGAAAATCAATTGTGACAAAAACTGCCATAGTAAAATATTAATTTTACTAATGAACGAGGTTTTGGTATTACAAAGTTACCGTAGAAAGTACCCTCTAAAGAGCATTGTGGGTAATACCGACCTTTAAAATGTAAAAAGTATTATTTCACCACAGTTGTTGATATTGGAATTACATTTATTAGAGGTAGTTCTAGTATTTTTACCAATATTTTATTAGGTTGTTTTTTTTTTTGGAATCTTGATTAACTTCTTTATTTTATTTTATTTATTTATAACATTTTTTATTTTTGTAATGCAGTTTTTTTTTTCAACAGCATACACCATATTTTTTTATAATTATAGGTTTTAAGGTTACAACCTAAACATTTGTCTTTTAAATGAACATCCTGTATATTTTTCGACGTTTGAAACCTACGTAACATTTGCTTTCGAATGCAAAAAATTTTCATTTAGGTGGAGACGCCAATTGTTATTTTTTTTATAATACCGTTATGTTTGCTAAATATGAATATGTTTTTTTTAAATACGTGGCACACAAATTATACGAAACATATTTTTGATGTATGCCTTCGAAAAAATCTTGTATGTACATATTATGTAAATCATTTTAGAGGAAATTTTACCCAGGTTTTGAAAATTGAGAAATGTGTACGGCAGACTAGCGCGGATTTGTCGAAATATCCCACTTCTTGGATGTAAGAGGGGGCAAGCTAATTTTTGCTGGAATACCTTCAGTACAACTCACATGATAAAAGTGTAGATCCCTAGATCTGGGCGAGGTCCGGAACATTTTCAAAACTGCAAAAATGTTTAAAAAATTTTAAAATCTATTTTGTATGTGTTTTTTACTTATATCTTGGAACCTATGCATTTTGGAAGAATATTGAAGAGGAAAAAAGTTTTAGAATTGAATTTTGCGCAAGATAGGTACTGCAAGTTTAAAATGTTTAAATTTATTACCGATGTTGCAAACTAGCAATAATTGATGCAAAAAGGCAACATAATCAAGATTTTTGGATAATTTTTTAAAAATATTTTTAATTACTCTGACGGCATTCTAGTTTTGGTAAAGTATAATAAAACAACACCAATTTTCATTAAAATCGGTTCTATAGTTTTCGCAAAATAATATTTTGAAAAAATTTTTTTGAATTTTCAAAATGTTGCACAACCTCAAATAAACCATCTAAATACTTGAACATTTTTTCACATAGAAAAGACCGCTCAACCTTTCAAATGATTTTTGAAAAATTGAAATCGGTTGATTAGAACGTCCACAGCAAATCAGCATTTACCGTTAATTTATAAACAATTTAGCAATAATCTTTGATCCAGTGGCTTCGTTTTTCCGAGTTCTAAGCTGGAAAAAAATTTCATATCCATAATTTATCGGCAACATAGGTAAATCAGCGGAAAAGCTATCGCTCGCACTCGCGAAAAGACTCAATACACGAAAAGTGGGGGCGGGGGCTTTTGCTCCGACCACCGAGACTGAATTCGGAGATTCAAAATGCGAAGGTACGAAAAAAATGACGTTATGGACCAATTTCGATCTTTTTTTTAATCCAATGTCTCGCGAGCCAAGGAACTGGATCGTAATGTCAACTCTCTAATTTGCACATATTTTGTTATAAACAAAGTTTATTATTTATGCATTAAATATACTGTATATTTTACCCTATGCTATTGCATTTTTTCATTGAAAAAATTTGTTTACGTATACATTTCAATACTCTCAATATGAATGTATTTGGTTATAATTATTACAATAATTTAAATAATTTTTGTTTAAACAAATTAAAAAAAATTATTCGGAAATTATTATTTTTTAAATACACATAAAATTAGGAAAAAATGGTACTTTAAAATTGTAATTTTTGAAAAGAACTAAATTGCAAGTTGATAAGTGTAATACGTATAATTGTTTAAAAATTAAAAAAAAAATAAAAATTTACTGTGGCCGTCCTAATCAACCGATTTCAATATTTTAAAACCCATTTGAAAGGTTGAGCGGTTTTTTCTGTGAAACAATTTTCAAGTATCTAGATGCTTTATTTGAGGCTGTGCAACATTTTGAAAATTTGAAAATTTTTTCAGTTTTTTTCAAAAAATTATTTTGCGAAAACTATCGAACCGATTTTAATGAAATTTGGTGTGTTGTTTTATTATACTCTAAAGCTTCTTTTAGTAAAATTAGAATGCCCTCGGAGCAATTAANATATTATGTAAATCATTTTAGAGGAAATTTTACCCAGGTTTTGAAAATTGAGAAATGTGTACGGCAGAGCATGGCGAATCTGTCGAAATATCCCACTTCTTGGATGTAAGAGGGGGCAAGCTAATTTTTGCTGTAATACCTTCAGTACAACTCACATAATAAAAGTGTAGATCCCTAGATCTGGGCGAGGTCCGGAACATTTTCAAAATTGTAAAAATGTTAAAAACTTTTAAAAACTACCTATTTTGTATGAGATTTTTACTTATATCTTGGAACCTATGCATTTTGGAAGAATATTGAAGAGGAAAAAAGTTTTAGAATTGAATTTTGCGCAAGATACTGCAAGTTAAAAATGTTTAAATTTATTACTGATGTTGCAAAATAGCAATAATTGATGCAAAAAGGCAACATAATCAAGTTTTTTGGATAATTTTTTAAAAATATTTTTAATTACTCTGAGGGCATTCTAGTTTTGGTAAAGTATAATAACACAACGCCAATTTTCATTAAAATCGGTTCTATAGTTTTCGTAAAATAATATTTTGAAAAAAAATTTTTGAATTTTCAAATAAAGCATCTAAATACTTGAAAATTTTTTCACATAGAAAAGACCGCTCAACCTTTCAAAAGATTTTTGAAAAATTGAAATCGGTTGACTAGGGCCACAGCAAATTTTATAAGTTAACACTCTTTTTTTTATTTTGAAACAAACAATTAAATTACATTTATCAATTTGTAATTTAGTAAAGTACTCAGAAAGACGCTTCTTTTTTTAAAAAAAAAAGTTAAATTCCGTCTATTGGTTGTCGAGATATAAGCGGTCGAAGCTTATCAGCATTTACCGTTAATTTATAAACAATTTATCAATAATCTTTGATCCAGTGGCTTCGTTTTTTCCGAGTTCTAAGCTGGAAAAAATTTTCATATCCATAATATATCGGCAACATAGGTAAATAAGCGGAAAAGCTATCGCTCGCAAGTGACTCAAAACATGAAAAGTGGGGGAGAGGGCTTTTTCTCCGAGACTGAATTCGGAGGTTCAAAATGCGAAGGTACGAAAAAAATTACATTATCTCGGCTTGTAATGGACCAATTTCGATCTTTTTTTTGTAATGCAATGTCTCGCGAGCCAAGGAATTCGAATATCGTAATGCCATCTGTCTAATTTGCACATATTTTGTTATAAACAAAGTTTATTGTTTATGCATTAAATATACTATATATTTTACTCTATGCTATTGCATTTTTTCACTGAAAAATGTTGTTCACGTATATGTTTCACCACTATGAATATGAATATATCTAGTTATAATTATTACAATTATTTAAATAATTTTTGTTTAAACAATTTAAAAATAATAATTTTTTTATTTGGAAAATAATTTTTTGTTAAATACAGATAAAATTAAGAAAAAATAGTACTTTAAAATTATAATTTTTGAAAAAAACTAAATTGCAAATTGACAAATGTAATCTTATTGTTTAAAAATAAAAAAAAGAGTGTTAACTTTAAAAATTTACTGTGGCCATGCTAATCAACCATTTCAATTTTTCAAAAACCGTTTGCAAGGTTGAGCGGCCTTTTCCATGTAAAAAAATTTTCAAGTATCTAGATGCTTTATTTGAGGCTGTACAACATTTTAAAAATTCGAAAAATTTTTTTCAAAAAATTATTTTGCGAAAACTATAGAACCGATTTTAATGAAATTTGGTGTGTTGTTTTATTATACTCTAAAGTTTTTTTACCAATGCCCCCGGAGGAATTAAATATTTTTAAAACAATATCCAAGAAATTTGATTATTTTGCCTTTTTT